AAATTGATGAAACATAAAAGTAAATATATTAATAGAGGCACAATAGATCAAAGTGGGCCAGTGGTTTAAATTGTAGCTATTTGTTAGGGAATTATAGTGTATGTTAATAACTCCTATTGCTTTATTCAGATAGTGATAGATGCCCAAAATCAACGACATGTTCTTTAAAAAAAAAGAATCTTTAATTCTTCAAGAAATTTCATGAAATTTTATTATTTATATTAAAAATTTGTTAAATTATTATGTTTTTTTTGTTAATATATCACTTTCGTTAAGCAGTTTAAACTGTTTTAATTCTTTGATTGTACATTTTTGTTAAAAACCGACACCTTGCTTTATACGTATGTGAGTTTAATTCCCTAGAAATTCCAGTATTTTAAATCAATATTTGAAATGTTTATGTCGGCGAATAAGGGCATATCATTTGGTTTTCTTTTTTTTTTTTTTGTAAAAATGTTTTCAATTGTTTTAAATGGATCAGTTTAACATGATTATTGTTAAAAACGAAGTTTTAAAAAATTACTCTTTAGGGCCTTTTTTGGAGCTTGGCTTTATTTGATTTTATTATTCACATTAGTGCCACTTTTCAATTAAATGCGCTACACAAATTACTTAGAGTTGAACTAGAACTGAATTAGAACTGAAATAAAACTGAACTAGAACTGAACTAGAACGACTAGAACTGAACTAGAACTGAACTAGAACTGAACTAGAACTGAACTAGAACTGAACTAGAACTGAACTAGAACTGAACTAGAACTGAACTAGAACTGAACTAGAACTGAACTAGAACTGAACTAGAACTGAACTAGAACTGAACTAAACTGAACTAGAACTAGAACTAGAACTGAACTAGAACTGAACTAGAACTAGAACTAGAACTACTGAACTAGAACTGAACTAGAACTGAACTAGAACTGAACTAGAACTGAACTAGAACTGAACTAGAACGAACTAGAACTGAACTAGAACTGAACTAGAACTGAACTAGAACTGAACTAGAACTGAACTAGAACTGAACTAGAACTGAACTAGAACTGAACTAGAACTGAACTAGAACTGAACTAGAACTGAACTAGAACTGAACTAGAACTGAACTAGAACTGAACTAGAACTGAACTAGACTGAACTAGAACTGAACTAGAACTGAACTAGAACTGAACTAGAACTGAACTAAACTGAACTAGAACTGAACTAGAACTGAACTAGAACTGAACTAGAACTGAACTGGAACTGAACTAGAACTGAACTAGAACTGAACTAGAACTGAACTAGAACTGAACTAGAATTGAACTAGAACTTGAACTAGAACTGAACTAGAACTGAACTAGAATGAACTAGAACTGAACTAGAACTGAACTAGAACCGAACTAGAACTGAACTAGAACTGAACTAGACGAACTAGACTGAAGAACTGAACTAGAACTGAACTAGAACTGAACTAGAACTGAACTAGAACTGAAGTAGAACTGAACTAGAACCTGAACTAGAACTGAACTAGAAGTAAACTAGAACTGAACTGAACTAGAACTGAACTAGAAGTAAACTAGATCTGAACTAGAACTGAACTAGAACTGAACTAGAACTGAACTAGAACTGAACTAGAACTGAACTAGAACTGAACTAGAACTGAAACTAGAACTGAACTAGAACTAGAACTGAACTAGAACTAGACTGACTAACTGAACTAGAACTGAACTAGAACTGAACTAGAACTGAACTAGAACTGAACTAGAACTGAACTAGAACTGAACTAGAACTGAACTAGAACCTGAAACTAGAACTGAACTAGAACTGAACTAGAACTGAACTAGTAGAACTGAATAGAACTGAACTAGAACTGAACTGAACTAGAACTGAACTAGAACTGAACTAGAACTGAACTAGAACTGAACTAGAACTGAACTAGAACTGAACTAGAACTGAACTAGAACTGAACTAGAACTGAACTAGAACTGAACTAGAACTAGAACTGAACTAGAACTAGAACTGAACTAGAACTGAACTAGAACTGAACTAGACTGAACTAGAACTGAACTTGAACTAGAACTGAACTAGAACTGAGCTAGAACTGAACTAGAACTGAACTAGAACTGAACTAGAACTGAACTAGAACTGAACTAGAACTGAACTCGAACTGAACTAGAACTGAACTAGAACAGAACTAGAACTGAACTAGAACTGAGCTAGAAACTGACCTCGAACTGAACTAGAACTGAACTTGAACTGAACTAGAACTGAACTAGAACTGAACTAGAACTGAACTAGAACTGAACTAGAACTGAACTAGAACTGAACTAGAACTGAACTAGAACTGAACTAGAACTGACTCGAACTGAACTAGAACTGAACTTGAACTGAACTGAACTAGAACTGAACTAGAACTGAACTAGAACTGAACTAGAACTGAACTAAAACTGAACTAGAACTGAACTAGAACTGAACTAGAACTGAACTAGAACTGAACTAGAACTGAACTAGAACTGAACTAGAACTGAACTGGAACTGAACTAGAACTGAACTAGAACTGAACTAGAACTGAACTAGAACTGAACTAGAACTGAACTAGAACTGAACTCGAACTGACTAGAACTGAACTAGAACTGAACTAGAACTGAACTTGAACTAGAACTGAACTAGAACTGAGCTAGAACTGAACTAACTGAACTAGAACTAACTGAACTAGAACTGAACTAGAACTAGAACTGAACTAGAACTGAGCTAGAACTGAACTAGACTGAACTAGAACTGAACTAGACTGAACTAACTGAACTAGAACTGAACTAGAACTGAACTAGAACTGAACTAGAACTGAACTAGAACTGAACTAGAACTGAACTAGAACTGAACTAGAACTGAACTAGAACTGAACTAGAACTACTGAACTAGAACTGAACTAGAACTGAACTAGAACTGAACTAGAACTGAACTTGAACTAGAACTGAAACGAGAACTGAAGCTAGAACTGAACTAGAACTGAACTTAGAACATGAACTAGAACTGAAACTAGAACTAGAACTAGAACTGAACTAGAACTAAAAGAACTGAACTAGAACTGAACTAGAACTGAACTAGAACTGAACTAGAACTGAACTAATGAACTAGAACTGAAGTATAACTGAACTAGAACTGAAACTAGAACTGAACTAGAACATGAACTAGAACTGAACTAAAACTGACTAGAAAAACTGAACGAGAACTGAACTAGAACTGAACTAGAACTGAACTAGAACTGAACTAGAACTGACTAGAACTGACTGGAACTGAACTAGAACTGAACTAGAACTGAACTAGAACTGAACTAGAACTGAACTAGAACTGAACTAGAACTGAACTCGAACTGAACTAGAACTGAACTAGAACTGAACTAGAACTAGAACTGAACTAGAACTAGACCTCTGAACTAGAACTGAACTAGAACTAACTAGAACTGAACTAGAACTGAACTAGAATCTGAACTAATCTGGAACTAGAACTGAACTAGAACTGAACTAGAACTGAACTAGAACTGAACTAGAACTGAACTGGAACTGAACTAGAACTGAACTAGAACTGAACTAGAACTGAACTAGAACTGAACTAGAATTGAACTAGAACTGAACTAGAAATGAACTAGAAATGAACTAGAACTGAACCTAGAACTGAACTAGAACTGAACTAGAACAGAAACTAGAACTGAACTAGAACTGAACTAGAACTGAAACTAGAACTGAACTAGACAACTGAACTAGAACTGAACTAGAACTGACATGAACTAGAACTGAACTAGACTGAACTAGAACTGAACTAGAACTGAACTAGAACTGAACTAGAACTAGAACTGAACTAGAACTGAACTAGAACTGAACTAGAACTGAACTAGAACTGAACTAGAACTGAACTAGAACTGAACTAGAACTGAACTAGAACTAGAACTGAACTAGAACTAGAACTGAACTAGAACTGAACTAGAACTGAACTAGAACTGAACTAGAGCTGAACTAGAACTGAACTTGAACTAGAACTGAACTAGAACTGAGCTAGAACTGAACTAGAACTGAACTAGAACTGAACTAGAACTGAACTAGAACTGAACTCGAACTGAACTAGAACTGAACTAGAACTGAACTAGAACTGAACTAGAACTGAACTAGAACTGAACTAGAACTGAACTAGAACTGACCTCGAACTGAACTAGAACTGAACTTGAACTGAACTAGAACTGAACTAGAACTGAACTAGAACTGAACTAGAACTGAACTAGAACTGAACTAGAACTGAACTAGAACTGAACTAGAACTGAACTAGAACTGAACTAGAACTGAACTAGAACTGAACTGAACTGAACTAGAACTGAACTACTGAACTAACTGAACTAGAACTGAACTAGAACTGAAATAGAACTTACACAAAATGTGTAAGACTCGTCAATGATCTGTTGTGTCCCAGAAATTGATTACAAATAGATGAAAGTTTTGATTTACCAAGGTAGGGTATTCAAATTTAAAATAATTATATAATTAATTGCAGTTCGTGCAACTGCAACTATAAAGGTCATTATTTATCCTGGTGTAATTCCAGTTAATGTTTAACATTTTATTTACAATTTCCATTAATTAACTTCTACTATTTGTACGAAATAATACTCCACGGACTATTAATCAAAACTTAATTAAATATATACTTAATTCATTAGCTGCCAACTGGACAGTGGTGCTAGTTAGGAAAAATGTTTATAACTGAATAATCACTGACCAGACTTCTGAAAGAATTTAAACTTTTAGTATACTGGTTGGTAGTTATATAGCTGTAACCTGCTTGGGCCTTCAATGATCTGACTTTTTCTTTCTTAACGTTTAAATCTTCCAGTATTTTGAAAATTACGTATTTGTTTAACTATATGTTCCACTGTGCCTAATATAGATTTTATCAATAGCTCATCATTAGATCAATAATAATTGATAACTGTTAATTTCAATAGTACGCCTAAAGACAAATTTTTTAAACATTGGATTTCAGTTATGGCTGAATCGTTGTCGTTAACACAAAGTCGCGTACTAAAGTACTTTTTCTTTCATGGCTTTCTGATCTCACGCCTAGTGGGTGTATTAAACTTTTCGTATGATTTTAAACGTCACAAATTCGTGCAACAATCAAAAATTCAACATTTTTATTGTGCCTCTCTACACATTATCTACGTTTTAATCTTACCCTGGGCCTTGGCGTCTTCATATTTTAAAGAGGCCTCTTTTGAGCAGAAACCTTTTTATATACTACTCAATGTGACTATAACGGTATTGCGTTTACCATCCTTATTTCTGACACTTTTGGGTACTTGGTTGTGGCGCAAGAACTTTATTGGAGTTATTCAACGTTTTGAATCATTGCGCATGCGTTATTTTTATTTATTAAGTGAAACGAAACGTCGAGAGATTTTGAGGCATAATGATATCTTAATATCTTTAAAAATATTAACTTCTACCAGTTTAATTTGTACTTTCTATATGCGTATTTTGATATTTGCTGAAAATCCTTCCCGAGAATTTGTGGGTTACAGTGTGTATTTTGGCATTCTGGAAATTTTAAGTATTTTCAAAATGAATTTCTTTTATTGTTGCATGTGTTATGCAAATTGTGTGGTGCGTTACGTACGTGACTTATTATTCGAAGAATGCTCTAAAATTACTGCCCATAAAGTGCGGGAGTTATTAAAAGTTTATATGGAAGTTAGTCGTTTGGTTAAGGAGATACGCCGTGTTTATCAATGGGAAATATTAAGCATAACTTTGGCCTCAATGGTGGCTTTGATTGGTTGTTGTTTAATTTCATCATAAATTGGCAGAATCTTGAACAGGATCAGCTGGGAGTTTGGTATATATTGGTTTTGATTTTGGTCTAAATGCCGCTTTTGTTAATATGTTGGATATTTTGTTGATTGCCTTTGTTTGTTGCAATACCATCAAGTGTACCAGACGTATAAGAGATGTTTTGCTGCTCATAAATGTTCAAATGCAATTGCCTGATCAAGAGGAGTTGCAAAGAGAGGTGGGTTCTAAAGCGAACATTAGTAACCTATGTATCTTACCTCCATTTTCTTTTCAGTTAAATTTCTTAGCCCTACAGTTTTCAACCAATCTACCGTATGTCAATGTCTGTGGGCTTTTTAATTTGACTTCATCTGTAACGTTTGCCATACTGAAGGGTACCTTGACTTATCTAATACTTTTAGTGCAATTTGATTATAAAAATTGGTGAAAAAATAAACTAATTTACAATAAAAATTCCTAAATTGCTGAATACAATAAACTTGAAACCTATTCCTATATAAAAAGTTTTATAACTGTAGATATAAAACATTTTTTGCTATAAATTTATACTAAAAATATGTTCAAATTATAGCAAAACATCCTTATTGAACTCAAAAACCTTTAAGGATATTCTATAATTTACCATAATCCCTATTTGCAATTGCCATAAACATAGCACGACTTTCTATAATTTTCCCTTTGTACTAAACATATCCTTAAAAAACATAGAATTTTATAGCAAAAACTACCCTTAATAAAAGTCCTTAATAGTCAAGACACATATTGTAAATATCCTCTTTGTTCAAATTTTGTCCTTGTATTTTAGGGGTGCAAATATAAAGCAAGGATTTTATTTAAAAGAAATAGGAAAGTCGTAGGTAATACCGGGAAATGCAGAAACTAATTTAAACGAATCGCAAAAGCCATTTTGTATGTCGTGTATAATCTATAGGTTGGACTATAGACTGGGACTATAGACTAGTCTATAGACTAGTCTATAGACTGGAATATAGACTAGTCTATAGTCTAGTCTATAGTCTAGTCTATAGTCTAGTCTATAGTCTAGTCTATAGTCTAGTCTATAGTCTAGTCTATAGTCTAGTCTATAGTCTAGTCTATAGTCTAGTCTATAGTCTAGTCTATAGTCAAGTCTATAGTCTAGTCTATAGTCTAGTTTATAGTCTAGTCTATAGTCTAGTCTATAGTCTAGTCTATAGTCTAGTCTATAGTCTAGTCTATAGTCTAGTCTATAGTCTAGTCTATAGTCTAGTCTATAGTCTAGTCTATAGTCTAGTCTATAGTCTAGTCTATAGTCTAGTCTATAGTCTAGTCTATAGTCTAGTCTATAGTCTAGTCTATAGTCTAGTCTATAGTCTAGTCTATAGTCTAGTCTATAGTCTAGTCTATAGTCTAGTCTATAGTCTAGTCTATAGTCTAGTCTATAGTCTAGTCTATAGTCTAGTCTATAGTCTAGTCTATAGTCTAGTCTATAGTCTAGTCTATAGTCTAGTCTATAGTCTAGTCTATAGTCTAGTCTATAGTCAAGTCTATAGTCTAGTCTATCTAGTCTATAGTCTAGTCTATAGTCTAGTCTATAGTCTAGTCTATAGTCTAGTCTATAGTCTAGTCTATAGTCTAGTCTATAGTCTAGTCTATAGTCTAGTCTATAGTCTAGTCTATAGTCTAGTCTATAGTCTAGTCTATAGTCTAGTCTATAGTCTAGTCTATAGTCTAGTCTATAGTCTAGTCTATAGTCTAGTCTATAGTCTAGTCTAGTCTATAGTCTAGTCTATAGTCTAGTCTATAGTCTAGTCTATAGTCTAGTCTATAGTCTAGTCTATAGTCTAGTCTATAGCCTAGTCTATAGTCTAGTCTATAGTCTAGTCTATAGTCTAGTCTATAGTCTAGTCTATAGTCTAGTCTATAGTCTAGTCTATAGTCTAGTCTATAGTCTAGTCTATAGTCTAGTCTATAGTCTAGCCTATAGTCTAGTCTATAGTCTATAGTCTAGCCTATAGTCTAGTCTATAGTCTATAGTCTAGTCTATAGTCTAGTCTATAGTCTAGTCTATAGTCTAGTCTATAGTCTAGTCTTAGTCTAGTCTATAGTCTAGTCTATAGTCTAGTCTATAGTCTAGTCTATAGTCTAGTCTATAGTCTAGTCTATAGTCTAGTCTATAGTAGTCTATAGTCTAGTCTATAGTCTAGTCTTAGTCTAGTCTATAGTCTAGTCTATAGTCTAGTCTAGTCTAGTCTATATCTAGTCTATAGTCTATAGTCTAGTCTATAGTCTAGTCTATAGTCTAGTCTATAGTCTAGTCTATAGTCTAGTCTATAGTCTAGTCTATAGTCTAGTCTATAGTCTAGTCTATAGTCTAGTCTATCTAGTCTATAGTCTAGTCAATAGTCTAGTCTATATTCTAGTCTATAGTTTATTTTGAACCTTATTTATTCCAACATTCATAGAACATTCAAACCCTCACTTGATTATAAATCTTTGTCCATTTCCTCTGTTCATTTTTGTTTCAAAAATAAAACCTGGTTTTATCTTCATAATTGGCATCTGTATCCCTAAAGTTCTATTAGCAGCCATTTAAATTTTTAATATTCACATTACATACATACATATTTTTTATAATTCTTATTGCATTTTATACATTTTAGGAATTTTTTGCCATGTGTTTTTTGTTTCTTCTTGTTTTGTTTCTAAATTGAACAAAATTCATACAGAAAATTTTTTGGCAATTAGATAAAATTGCATACACAATATGAATACAAGTTTTAATGTAATCAACAATTAAAATTTGTTGTTATTTTAGCTGGTGTTTTTTTTTCGTGTAGTTGTGTACTAGTGATTACAGGAAGGCTGAACTAAAAGGTCTTTTAAGAGTTAGAGTACAAATGATGCGGCAGTGTTGTAGGATATCGAGCAATGTTTAAATATTACTACTGATGTGAGGAGACTTTACAGTCTGCCCTTATTTGCAGTTGTTCAACAACTTCAACTAGACAAACCATACACAGACAAAATTATTTTTAAATATTTTCAATTAAACGATTAATCAAAAATTTTAAAAGGGTTCAATTCATTTTGTATTTGATTCATAAAAATGTATAATTAAATACGTATTTAACAACAACAAAAATAGAAAAAAATAAAAATTTTGTGTACGAAATCAATTATAAGTAGTAATTGAATATACAATTTTTGTTATAGGTTGAACTTCAAAAAATAAAATAATTGAAAACGAGGTTTTGGTAATTGAAATCGTTTTTCAGTTTTTTTCTGTGTACAAACACTCAAACATTGGTATTTATACAGTTGTTATCAAACTCCCCAGTCATGTTCATAACTGTGTTTTTGGCTGAGAGTCTATATTGGTGGATGTGTGTGAGTGTCCGGGAGCAAAACACAGTGATCGAAAACCAACTCAGATTATGTAAATTCAGCGGAATGAACCTACATTTACAATCGGTACAATCGGTACGCAATCAGTTCTAGTTCAGTTCTAGTTCAGTTCTAGTTCAGTTCTAGTTCAGTTCTAGTTCAGTTCTAGTTCAGTTCTAGTTCAGTTCTAGTTCAGTTCTAGTTCAGTTCTAGTTCAGTTCTAGTTCAGTTCTAGTTCAGTTCTAGTTCAGTTCTAGTTCAGTTCTAGTTCAGTTCTAGTTCAGTTCTAGTTCAGTTCTAGTTCAGTTCTAGTTCAGTTCTAGTTCAGTTCTAGTTCATTCTAGTTCAGTTCTAGTTCAGTTCTAGTTCAGTTCTAGTTCAGTTCTAGTTCAGTTCTAGTTCAGTTCTAGTTCAGTTCTAGTTCAGTTCTAGTTCAGTTCTAGTTCAGTTCTAGTTCAGTTCTAGTTCAGTTCTAGTTCAGTTCTAGTTCAGTTCTAGTTCAGTTCTAGTTCAGTTCTAGTTCAGTTCTAGTTCAGTTCTAGTTCAGTTCTAGTTCAGTTCTAGTTCAGTTCTAGTTCAGTTCTAGTTCAGTTCTAGTTCAGTTCTAGTTCAGTTCTACTTCAGTTCTAGTTCAGTTCTACTTCAGTTCTAGTTCAGTTCTAGTTCAGTTCTAGTTCAGTTTTAGTTCAGTTTTAGTTCAGTTCTAGTTCAGTTCTAGTTCATTGTTTCACTTAATTTTATCTCAGAAGGTCCTATTAATCCACTGTGCAACACTTGTTTGGTTTTTGTTTGTTGGCAAAAAAATTTATTAAATATGATGTTATTTACAAGTGTGTTAGTGTGTATTTAGATTTTTTATTATGTAGTGGTATGTTATACAACTTGAATATAAGATGAAGCTTAAACATTTTTAAGCATTTATGTATTTAGTTTTTCATTCTCCCTCTCTCACACTTGCACTCTCTTTCCTCACACTATTACCGACTAGTTGTACTTGTATTATTAGGTTTGTAGTTGTACTTGTTAACAAGTAAAAATATGTATGTATGTGTGTTTATGCTCTTTTAAGGCCAAATTGGTTGTTGGCTTTTATTTGTTAGCCGCTGTCTACAAACTACAGCGAAATAATTTAACTTAATGGTTGATTTTATGAAGTTTCTTTTTTACCATAACAAGCCAACAGAAATATTTATTCTTGGTACTATAGAGAGCGAAATTTTTAATGAAATTTTGAATTTTTTTGCAGTTATTTTTAATATTCAAGGTTAATTAAAATTTTGTGTGTTAATTAGGGAGAATTTTTGAGTCTTCTTTAATGGTTGTAAGAATTTATGGAATTTTGAAAATAAGACAAACAGCAAAGGATGTGTAAAAGTTTATTTTCTTCATTAAATTTACTTAAACTTTAATAAAATTATGCCAACTTATTAGTATTCCTTTTAAGCACCTAGTTTCTAACCATATTGTCAAAATATTTAATTAGAGAAGGCCTCATTTATAATCAATCGCTTTAAAGCCCTTAACAAATAGTCCACCCTACCTCTATTCTTAGGCTTTAGCTATAAAACAAAAAGGATGTGTTTTAAATATTCTAAAGTCGTTTCATTAAGTCTTAGTGGTAGTTTTGCTTATAAATCACACAAACAATGACGCACACACATAAAGACATTGTACAAATTATCCTTTACAAATACACTTACGATTAGAAATCTGTGCCTAAAACTATGGAGAATTATAAGGAAGACAATGTGATAAACTAATACAAAAACTTACATACTTACATACCCAAAGTAACAATACAAATACATACATAAGTATGAGACATTTGCTAGGGCCGCTTGTTCATTTTGC